AAGGGGGGTATTTCCTAAACCCACACATCCTTTTGAAGAAATCCACATGGACTTTATCCAGTTAAATAAAGTGAATAATTTGGAATATTGCCTCGTGATTATTGATGCATTTTCCAAATGGGTAGAATTGTTTCCTTGTCACTCTCCGGACGCTCTAACAGTGGCTAAAGCAATATGTAAAAGAATTGTGCCAACATTTTCGATTCCCAGAGTTATCAGGAGTGACAATGGAACACATTTTGTAAATGATGTGATTGATAAGGTGGGACAAAATCTCAACATAAATCTAAAAAGACATTGTAGCTACCATCCACAAAGTGCAGGTTTAGTTGAAAGAAATAACGGCACTGTTAAAGCTAAATTGAGGAAATGCATGGAGGAAACAAACAGACAATGGCCTGAATGCATAGACTTGGTACAGTTAAGCATGCATATAACACCTACTCAGGGTAGTGCATTGACACCATTTGAAATATTATATGGTAGGTCATACACACTTCCAGATTTACAGCCAAATAAGCAGTTCTCTCCTGATGATAATCCTACGTTGGCTGACTATATGAGAAAAACATTATTGACTAGAGCGTGTCAAGAAACAAATAATGTTCCGAGTCAACCATTTTGTGCACAGGAGCTGCCTGTTCGAGTTGGAGACTGGGTGTTTGTGAAAGTCATCAAACGAAAGTCCTGGTCCAGTCCACGGTGGGAAGGTCCGCATCAAGTGCTTCTGACGACACCCACTGCTGTGAAGATAGCAGAAAGGCCCACGTGGATTCACCTCTCACACTGCAAAAAGAGAAATCTGAGAGATTTTGTGTCAACCACAACGGAGGGGAAGGCTGGCCTACAAAGGGGGGCAAACGTGCTCGTCTCAACAGTCAGTGAAGCAGGGAGATCCTCCAGTGGTTTAATGCACAAGAAACACAGTTTGTACAACTTGATGATGTGCTAGTAACCTCTCATCTTGTGATATTGGTGAATTGGACTGTTTCAAAAAGGACTGTTTACAAGATGGTCTTCAAAGTATTCTCCACTCGACATGGACTTCGATGCAGTAGTGGTCTAATAATACTGATTACATTGATAGTTATTGTGGTTCCATCACTGCTTTGGTGGGGGAGTCAACAATATAACAATGTCAAGCGTACAGCTAGAGCAGAAATAGATGTAGATCATTATAAAGACAACTACTGGTATCGCATGGCTGAAATAACAGCTCAGGCAAATAATATGTCAGATTGTTATGTTTGTGCATTTGTTCCTCATCATTCAAATTCAAATCCTTATATAACACCACATCCAGTCTCAGCTTTAACAACTATATGCACTATGGCTTTTTATACCTTACATTCAATTGGCATGAACTACTCTAAATATGTGGAATGGCTGCCAAATTGCACTACTCTTTCAATTCAAAAGGTAGCAGATTGGAGAGTTCCATTGAACTTCTCTTTAAGTACAAATATGACTAATGAGAAAGGTGTGACTGTGGCTCGATTTCCAGCCAATTCTCCTCTGTGTCTGAGTAGGAAATGCAATGTGCCGGGGCCCTGGGAGGATGCGAACCAATATGTAGGAACATCCACCTGTGATGATGTTCTGCCTATTGCCACATATAACCAACAAACCTCTGAGATACATCACAGATTATACTTCACTACTACTCCGACCGCACGGGAGTTCCCAGTGATTAATTTCACTAAAGTGGGTGAGGTCAGTGGAGTGGCCAACTGGCACTCATACCCAGCTTTTTTGGTGGAGGTCCCGGGGTTTTGGGGCTATCCATGCCCGTCAAACCAGGTGTGGGTTTGTGGAGATAAAGTGTATCTGTGGCTTCCAGAGAGATGGTGTGGAACTTGTCATCTGGCCACCCTAGGTCCGGCCTCCTATATCATTTCAAGTGATAACTTGACACAGCACTTGGGCCAGAGGCAGAAAAGGGCTGCTGCCACAGCGGCCAGAAGCCCACCTTTAATCTCAGATGTAAGAGGAGTGTTCATGACAGCCCTTCCCATGTATGGAGTTGCATATTTAAGTCATAGGATGAATGATATTGCATGGAATTTGGAGAATTTGACTAATATTGTCATGGACCTCACTGAACAAATCAGGGGAGATTCAGAGAAAGAGGCTATGCGTCAAATGATCATGCAGAATCGAGTGGCATTAGATTTTGTTTTATCTGAAACTGGTGGTGTGTGTCAGTTAATTAAGGATCATTGTTGTACGTTCATTCCATCATCCAACTCAAATTATTCACTAATTTTGGATCGACTAAAAAGTCTTAAAACTGAGATGCTAAGTGAGCGAGACAATGACAACATGAATTGGGACTTATTGTCATGGTTTTCTACTGGAGCATGGTGGCAACTGATATTGAAAATAGCGACACCTGCAATAATGATTTTGGTTTTATTTTGCATATTTGTCACTTGTTTGTTGCCATGTGCTAAGTCTTTAACCAACAGGATGATAAACACTGCAGTTGCAGACACATTGTTTTCGGATCAATGTCAAGCGTTGTTAGCTCACACAAATGTAAATGATGATTTTGATATTTCTGTGTAAGTTTGTTATGAAGGTATTGCAGAAAACTGAGAAGAGATGTAATGCTGGATGTTAAAACTTTACATTTATATATTATGAATAGGGGGGAATTATGTCAATGGAGTATGTTATTGTGTTATTATCATATTAATAAATGTAACGTTAGACTAGTAGTATTGATCCAGGATCCAGGCAGGGTGAAGAATGTGCGGAGTCAAACCCCCAGCTATTATACACAGGAAGTTAGATTAAGGCAAGGACCAGAGAACATCTGTTTAGAGTAAGCCTCAGGCTTACTTTGAGAGGGGCTACTGTGTGTTTTGGAGAAAGGAGCTATTGTGTTCACCTAAGGATGGTGAGACATGTGTTTTCAATTATCATGTCATGTGACTGTGTGCTTTTCATCGATAGCCTGTCTTGAAACAGGGTCTTTTGCTTTGGGTGTGCCAGGGAGCAGGGCCCAGACTGATCAAGCAGTCTGCCACTTGTCTGTATCTTATATTCTGTCTTTTTATATATTAAACCTTTTCATATATCTAAGCAGAATTTGTGGTCCATTTTTCATCGAAGGAGAAACCGTGGCTGAACCAGCGTTAACATAGAATAACTGACCCCAAACCCAAACCTGCTAAAATAGATTAGCACTTGTAAGGATAATACTAATTTGATTAAAGATGTTCATTCATCCCAAACTGCCTGACAATAATATCTTTAGATAATAAAAAGTAATAAATCACTGACCACTATAGAAGTGTAAATGTTAACCATTTGCCTTACTGTGTTCACAGTTTTATTCCTGAGAATGAGAATAGACATGGAGCAAAATCCCACTGATAATAAGCCACTGATAATTAGAATGTAAACCACAGAGAGATTAAAATGTATGTTTAAGAATATGGCTCAATAGAAGCAAATATGCAAACATATTTGTAAATAGATTAGAATAGTTTTAAACTATAGTGAATAGAGAATAAAGTACACAGTCTAAGATTAGAATTAGTGATAATATTAAAGTGAAATAAGTGAAGTGTAGTGTAAACAATTAGCATTAGAATAAAAGTATAGAGTAAGAAAAGTGAAATTAGCTTCTAAATTGAGACTCAGCTCGTTTTTGTCTGTGTTTTGACTGAATCTGCTGAGTTCTTGTGTGTCCAATAGTGTTTGTTTGTTTTTATTTTTGATTTGTTTTTTGTTTGTTTATTTACTTTATTTTTGTTTGTTTATTTGTTTTGTTTTTTTCCCAGGATAGAGGATAAAATCCACTGATATTGATTTGATGATTATGAGTTTAATGCATACATTTTCTTTGTTTTTAATAATTTTTTAAAGTTTTTTTTTTTTTTTTTCTTTTTCCACTTTATTGATTGATCGATTTGAGTGATCACATGTGATTATGTGATCAAAGGGGAGGGTGTTAGTATTAGATAGCAATATGGCCTACGTGCAGGACTGTACAAGGACTCTACAAGGACTCCATGTTATGACTATGATGTGACTGTCTCTTTGTGACACGTATGTCTTTCGATGTGTGACGTGACAATGACTATATAAACTGTGTACTGCCTTTATTCTGTCTGAAAGAAAGAAACAGAGTAAACCATTGGAACTTGAGAGAAACTTAAATAAACTTCCAGAGTTTGGCACACCACGATCCGTCTCTGTCTGCTTAAATCCTAACAAAGGAAAAAAGAAGGTCCGAGGCACACAATCTTTTATTTTCACGGGACACCAAAGGACGGGTCCCCGGGCGCTGTTACTACGGCGACCACTGCCCCTGACGTAAGCCTTAGTGGCATCAGGGTCAAATGCAGAAGATTAAATCCCTACAGGGACAATAATGTGCACATTTACATTTAATCTTATTAGAGAAAAAAGTCTGAGCAGTGAGTTTTTAATGTTTGTTTTAAGTATTTTTTCTCATTTCCATACAACTTTTCTTGTTGTATTTTAAACTAATTCTTAAAATGTAGCATAACACATTTAGATAAGGGTGTTATGCTACATTTTAAGAATTAGTTTCTCATAAGCATTTGAGAAAAAAGGAAATAATACTTGAATTGTATGTTTTTATACTAGAATAAAGTAATTCAGGGCTAGTATTATTTTAAGAAATCTTGTCATGTCATATTTTCCTGTTCTATAATTCATTTTCATTTACTTTTTTCAAGGGATTTTTTCCAGAGTGAACTAACATATAGGCCTCTCATATGGCTTTGTGTGAGGTTGTAAGTTAATAAAGGGAGCAGATTGGTTCAATAACAACAGGAGAATCAATAGAACTTGTTTTATTGCCATTGTGCATGAACTGTTGACACTGCCGGTTACACAGGGACTTTCTGACGTGGCGACAGAAGACACGACCTCTCCAGCTCTGTGCTCCTCCCTCGAGCTGGTTCCGTCATCGCCAACTTCGCACATACGTCAACCGATGGTGGAGTGTGGGTTTGTGAACATTAGGGAAAAGCTCTCAGTAGGTAGAGAAGGTGCTTTGAAGTGAGAAACCACAACATTACCTCTTTAAGACGTCTATACAAAACATGAGAACGGAACAGTTAATGCGGATTATGCTGTAAATATGAACGCTGGCAATCATTTACAGAGTTGAAGCTGAAGCAATGACAGTATTTGCACACACTGGGACATTTTTCCAGGTTCAGTGATTGGATCCAGACGCAGAGAACAGAAAAGTTGTCAATAATATAGAACATAATAGTTACAATGTGGAGATCTTTGAGTGAGTTGGGTCAGCTGTGGATGAGTCTGTTGGAATGCATTAGATTTCTACTGGAGCCTGGGGATTGGACGCAGAGAAGACAAGAGTTTTTAGACTAAAAAATGGGTCCACGCTCAAAACCTATCTTTTTAAAGGAGCAGTATGTAAAAATCTGGCCAAAAGTGGTACTGCAACCTCTCCCACTCTCTCTGACTCAGGTTGCCAGATGTGCAGACGAATCCAGCTGGATCATGAAATCTGAATATAAAAGAATTTTGTCAACAACAAATTTATAACCAACACCTTTTTCACAAAGACTCGTTTTATTTGTTTGTTTTGTCGTTAATGATTTGAGAATCACAACAAAACCTTTTTTTATTCTGTGGCCGAACATTTACCAGTGAGATTAGCTCGATGCAGTGAGTTCTGGCAACTCTGATCACAGACTTTCTGATCGGTGAAACGGTGAAGGGCGGGACATCAAAATGAAAACAAGATTTAGGGGCTGTAACACTAATTTTGTAATTGGAATATCTCGGCTAAACTCCTGTTATTAGTTAAAGAAGTATAAGAAAAGAGAAAGTTTTATTAATTCCTTTTGACAGATTAGGGCTATTTAATAATCTTTTATATTGCTACTACCTTTGCTATGAAAATATGGGTTCCAACATAATAATGAAATTATATACCATCAGGTCATTGAAGCAGAAAGGATGAGTTTTAGATCATACAAAAAGTTTACATATGGTTTTGGAACACAATTATGTGCTTTTAGTTAATTCAACGGATTGTCTTGCAAGTCTGTCTATATGTTTTGGAGGTCTCTGAATCGCAAATGTTCCCAAACCTTGGATCAGAAATAGGAAAAATAACTTTACCCCAACACAAAGTAGTCAAGTTAAATTCTGAGAACAAATCAAACCACAGCATGCTTCTGTTATCTTATCTTTTGCATACTTCATACTTTCTTTTGCATCAGAAAGCATGCATCCCTAACCCTGGACAAGGCATGTCCAAACAGAGGCCTGAGGTCCAATTGCGGCCCACTGTCATTCTAAATGGCCCTATACCTTGCTATCCCAAATACCAGATTATAAACAAGTTCATAGTGTTATCGTGCCAACCTCTGCTTCTCATACAGGCATGTTTTACCTCATTGTAAAGCTCAGAGACTTTTGAATCAATTTATTTGTAAGAATTGGCATTTGTTTTTCATTATGGCTACTCAAACTTACAGCAAACTTTTAACTAACGCCTATTTGACACTGATTGGCCGTTTGCCATTTCTCAGTCTTAAAATGTGACGGAAGCCAAAAATACATGCATGTTTTGAGCGTGAGAAACTATATAGTTGGATACATTTGATTAAGTAGTACGTTTGGGTTGAAAATCGGGTACCCCAGCTTTAAGAATAAAACGTCTCTTGTCCTCTGTGCAGCAGGCCCGACTCCAGTGTTTGGTTCTGATTGAAGACTCACCCACTTGTGATCCTCTGATCCCCCATCACTCACTTTTACCGTTTCAACGAACACACCGCCGCCATTCATAAACCTACAGGGCTGCACAATATATCAAAATATATTTATTATTTTTTATATGGCAAATAAAAAGTGGTGAAGCTAACAAATACAATGTGCTGGGCTGGTACAGGAAGTGAATGCATGGATTTGTGTAGCAGTGAAAAAGGGGCTAAAGAATGACTGTTTTGTTGACGTTTTAAAATGTGTGCAGAAATATTTGTGTAGTAACTGTGTGTTTGTGTATTGAACTGTCATTGTACATATACTGTACATATATAGCATTGTGCAGCCCCACCACACGGCCTTCTCGTCACAGTGCATTTGGTCCACACACTTCCTCACTCTCAATGGAATCATGTTTGGCCTGGAATGGGGAATGAAAAACAATCGCGATTTGTTTTTCTGTTTTTTAAGGATCTGGTAAAAAGGGACGCTCGTCTTAAATTACCTGAGGATATAGACTCGTGATTGAAATACCTGATGCAAGACACTGGGCAACTACCAAGCCACCACTTTGCGTTGCTTTACCTAAACGTGTTTGCCTTTTGGAGGTGGGGTTTAGACGACTGGCCACGAAGAGGAAGTTACAACAACAACTGGTTTGGAACTGGAACAATAAAAATGTGTGACCAAAATGCTAAGCAAATCCAAATAGTTATAAAATGGACTCAGCTGTTCCCAAAGCCTCCCCTCTACCAATGGACTTTGTAAGTTAAACCAAATACATAGAAACAAATGATTCAACAAGTCTGCATCGGCAAATTTACAAGAAGAATGAGGAAAACAAAAATGAGTGAACGTTAGGGGACTGGTGGTCTTCAAGGATCCGTGGGTAAATACAGAAAAAATCAAGGAGGAAAATGTCCGAGGCACTCTGACTTAAAATAAAAATCCTTTATTATTGTAGGTACTTCGTTCAGATTTTTAATTTAAGTCGTTGCCTAAAATCTAGTATTAATGTTGTAATTCTTTCCAAATATTTGAAATGCATCCCTATAGGTTGCCAAAATAACTCACTAAGAAAAGTCCTTTCTACTGGACAACATGAAAAAGATTTTGAATATTGTCATTACTTCTTGACTCCTTTTTGTGAGAAATGAAATTAGACCATAGTCGTCATGAGCAGACAAAGAAGATGTGGAACGTTGAGAGATTTTGATTCCCGTGGATTGGTCTCATTGGATTGGATTGGTTCATGTGGATTGGCCTAGGAATGACAGACTTTAACTCAAAATGAAGCTTGCTGAACCACAATTATGTTTCAGCTTCCCTCCACCACATGTCAAACTATAGGCTCTATGGAATGTTGTGATGTCACATGAATGCAACCTTTTTTCTTGTTGCTTGTTGGTCTAACTTTGAAAAGCACTGATCTATTCTGTTTGGTTAGATTTGTTAACATTTTGGAACGTAAGTGTGTGTATGTGGGAGGCGTCTGAATTCAAATCATTTTGGAGGTTTTTAATCTCCTCCGACAGTTCCGTTGTTGTTGTAACTTGCCCTTCTTGCCGCCGTGACACATAGCCTGGATTGGGTAAACATGATCCTGAACAGTACAGCCCGTCACACAGCAATACGCAGTCTAGGATCTTTTTCAAACAAGCATTTTGTTTCTTTTCATAGATATTTTCACATATATATATATTTATACGTGTGTCTATATATATATAATATGTTCAAAGAGCTTATTCATACTGTGAATGTTGAAACAGAACACAACACATAAGGTAATTGCAGAAATATACTACCAGTCGATGCATGCCCCCCCTGCTCGTATCCATATAGTGCTCGGCTGCGCCCCCTAGTGGTCTTCCCTGGTCAGGATGGCGAAGTGACCAGTCTGTTGTGGTGAGTGTGGTTAGACGTAGGCCGTGTCCGAATGTCCACTCTCATCCCGAGCCTCACTAGTAAGACTATAAAGTGCACTCAGTCCTACAGTAATTAGGGCTTTCTGCTCACTACTTTCTCTGCGCAAACTTTACTTCTATAATAAATGATCATCTTTAAAACTGGGGTAGTAACCAGGGGTCTCAAACTCAATTCGACTGGGGGCGGCACGAGGTGGAGTCTGGGTGAAGCTGGGGGGTAAAGCATAAGGGGTATATTTATCACGTGTTTGTGTGTGTGCAAACATAAATATGGACATTGGAGCACTAACACGGGCGGCAAAGTAAAGTAAGTTGAGCACATGCAGTTTAGCTCCTGGATTCATAGATGTATAATACACCCCTACGTTTAAACTGTCTCTCTCCTTTTATCAATTAAGAATTAAAAGATCAGAGTAAATGTTTGCAGAGACAAAAATAGAGAATGCCAAAACCAAGAATCAAGCGCCTTTGGAATTTTTGTTTAGAACTCATCATTTGCATCTGTGACTTTTTATAATGAAAGTCTTCGGATCAAATAATCAGTGGTATTGTATATATGAGTAGCTATACATTTTAAATGTTTCTATGAACAACATGAGTAGAGTTGCTAGGATAGAAACAAAACTGGTCCAATGGCTGGATAATGTTTAAGTGATTGTCTTCTTGATGAAAATAGATGTATGTAAAACATGCCATGCTAGCCACACTGGCATTAACCTTTGATGTCCACTAGGGGGCAATAGATTCCTTTTGGGGAGCCGCATGTTAGAGACCCCTCTGGTGAGCAGGTCATGGCTTCATCTTATCAGAAAACATGTTGTCTTAAGCACACTTTTCTGTCTGAAAACGTACGGTATCAATTTGAAATAGAAATAAAAAAGGGAAATCTAAAAGAAATCTAAACTGAGCAGTCTGATTCCTCTGATTGTTTAAAAATCATACAATGTCACATTCTCTCTGAAAATCAAGAATGTCTCTCCAGTTTTAAGGGCGACAACAGTATTTTTGTCCTCAAGCAAAACCCCTCAGTACCTTCAGGAGGAGACTCTTTCAATCAGAGAACCATTTTGAGAATAAAGATTTAAACCTTGAATACTACCTGACTTTTTATAAGAGCTTATATGTTTTATTTGTGTTCAGTAACATAGTGTTTTTAAAGAAATATTAAATCAAACGCTTCCTCCAGTTCGAGCTCTCAAGATGATTGTAGAAGCGATATTATTAATTCCTAGTTCTATTTTGTCAATTATTTCATTTAAGAAAGACTTGTTAACAAACACAGTACACAGTATGAAAACGTGCATCATTCGCTCTTAAAATTGAGTGAATGAAAGACAAATAAAATCCTGGTGCGTCCCTCGCTTCCCCTGCTGGACATTCGGACACGCCCCTTAAAGACGGCGTGGCCCTCGTTCCGGACACTACGCAAGAATCTGAGTGCAAGTTTGGGACACAGCCATAGTTGCTACGTCATGCAGAGATGGCGGGTTTTGTCTGGGGCCAAAAGAAAAAGATGGTTGCAAGTCAAGTCAGTGGTTTTGGAGGCTTTGGTTTTCGTGGCCTAGCTGACGGCGGCGTCCTAAGTCTGGGGGGCTTCAGTCTCTGTGGGGCCCTCGTCCGTGCTGGTGCTGGTGGACACCTGTGTGGGCGGCCCGTGCAGAGCCGCGCTGGGGGGCAGGGGCAGCGAGCCGGGCAGTTTGACCGGGCAGAAGGCTGAACCCGTGGGGATGAAGTTGACCTTGTTCTTGTCGGGGCAGGAGAAGAGGGGAGCGGAGGCTGAGGCCGACTGTCTGGAGCTGCACAGAAGAGGACAGAGAGTAGCTATGGTCAGGACGGGTCAGGGAATCGTGTAAACAGCTGCATGGATCGTTTGAACCACACACAGACTCAAACATTCAATTCAATTTATGTTTGTATAGTCCTAAATCACCACTGTAGTTTTCTTGGAGGACTAAACAAAACCATTGATTCGCCAACACAGATCGGAGAATCAAACCGTTCCAACATAAGAAATGCAATGATTAAAAAACACACACAGATTCATAAGGGGTAGATGACCATATTCATAAATGACTCCCCAATGTCTGCCCATGTTTAGTCGTAACTCTGAGGACCAGCAGGAGGCCAGTCCGAGTTGGTTCTTATGGCACTAACATGTCACAGATGTACTTTGGTGCGAGGCCATGGATGGTCTATTCACTACTCGCCAGAGGAAGCTATTATCCAATAATCAAAAGAATAATCACACAACTGCTCAGTTTTCAAAATACATGCACAGTCCAACCTTTGACCTCTTCACACACTGACAGAGTAAAGTCATTTTAAGGGTACTTCATGAGTGGGACAAGTATAAGACCACACCTCTCCTCGTAGGCTTTGACCTTTTCGCAGCCCTCCGGAGGTTCCCTCTTGAACATGTAGCTGTTGTTTGGTTTGGGTGATGATGCAAACTTGGGCAGAGGTGAACTGCTTCCACTGTCTGTCCAAAACAACACATAAAACAGAAGACGACAGTTTACTGAAAGTGCTACAGAGAGAAAAGACACATATCAGACCCTTGTAAAAAACACCCGTAAAATACTAAACACTGGAGCAGTTGGAGGGAGTGTGTGTGGAGAGGTGAGTCTCTGCTCTGACTGAGGATTAAACATTTAAACAAATATCTCATTGTATTTGTTGCGTTAGGGTTATAATGTTTGTTGTAAGATTTGGATTCTGGAAGTGGACAATTAAACATGTACTGGAGCAGTGACAATTGTATCCAAGCCCTGAACAGTACATAGTTCTTTTGTGGCACCAACTGCATGTTAAAGCCAGATTCCCTCTGACCTCTGAAGCCAAGCAAAGCAGGGCCTGGTTAGTACTGTGATGGGAGACCTCTGGGGACAGCAAATGCCACAGTTAAATTCCTACATAAACTTTGGGCCATCCTTATAATTTCACTAAATCACATAAAGCCTCTATCTCTTATCCATTTAAGTTATTGAGAAATTAAGATGTCAAAATTGATTCCAGCCTGAGTCCAGCCTGAGTCCCGCCTGAGTCCCGCCTGAGTCCCGCCTGAGTCCAGTCTGAGTCCAGTCTGAGTCCAGTCTGAGTCCCGCCTGAGTCCCGCCTGAGTCCAGCCTTTGGCTTGTAGTGACTTTTCCCCAGTTGAGTCGATGCTCAGACTTTCCTGTAGAGCTGTTAACAAATAATACTTTTTTTTTCCTGTTTTTTTCAGTAATCTCCAACCCAATTCATGAATTATTAAGTGCTTTATTCCCGGCCAAAAACACATATCTCGCTTTAGTTTTAAAATAGTTTTGTCTGGAAAGATTATTTGAACAATCAATAGAATAGAATGATTGGAATGACCTCCAGCAGCATCACTTCCCCTTTCTATGTGTGAAATTTAGATTAAAGTTCTAGTGTTGTTTTTGAGAGGCCAATAACAATTGTTGGTAGTCTGGGAGGTCAATAACCAGTGAATATATACAATAAACAGATCTGATAATCATTTGGAGAATAAATGAAAATATTGACGTCATAATTTTGAATAATAGATGCTCCAACAAAGAAGGAAAGTTAAGTTTTTGTTGTCAGATAACAACATTACATGAATCCTTCTGGAGCAGACATTGTTTCTGTAAACGACTGCAAACAGGTGATCTTTAATACATTTCTTCCAGCGGTCTACAGAGGCTAACCACTCTAGAGTTCATGGTGCTGGCTCCAAAGGTTATTCGAATCAAACTGAGATTACATGGTTCAAACTTGTGGTCTAAAATGCTAAGATCCTTGAACTCAAAACTGATCAAGGCACAGCTCATGTTGTATTATCCTTTTGCTCTAAATCACGGGTGCAACTCAAAATAGGAACTGTTTATATATGAAGGTATTTTGACATGATTTTATGTGACACAAGTTTCATGTTTATTGTTTAGATTTAACTAAAACTGGACCAAATATAAAGTTAAACACATTCTTTTATATTTAACTATTTAAAATGTGTTAAAATGTTTGAATAAAATAAAATGCCTTTTTAGTCCATAATCATCAATGCCTCAAGTTAATAATAATAATAATAATAATAATAAACAGAAAATCATTTTAGGGGTCACTAAAAATCATCTTGAGTGTGTCACGCCTGGTCTAAAAGCTCTGAGTGTTTGTGCACCTTTGTCCCTGTCGTCGAGCAGTTCGTCTGTGGAGTATGGGCTTCCGTCGTGTGAGCCGGGGGGGCAGGCGGGCGAGGGGCAGGGCGACAGGCTGGAGCAGCTACTGGACCGTCCCGGGGCAGAGGGCGTCTGGGTGTCCACACTACGACTGCTGCTACTGCGCTGCTGCGGAGGGAAGGGAGCGCGCCGACCGTCTGGAACCTCCAGAGACTGAAACATCAGAGGATCAGAGTAATCATCTCTCAAAGACATTACCAACAGAAAATATACATTCAAAAATAAATATTTGTGTTGTTGTTCAGACCTCTATTGCTCAATCACTTATACGATTTGTGGCTACAGCGTTTATCTGTTTCTGTTGCAAACCTAAAGGGTTAAAGGTCCAACCAGGATCGGTTTAACCCATTAAGGCCTGACACAGCTGGTAAAACAGACCTGTAAAACCTAAGGCCGACATCAGAACCACCCTGAAATTCAACGTCTACTAAATGAATGATATCTCAAACTCTGTAGCAGATAGAAACATAATTTCAAAAGAATTTGAGAGCCGACACTTGTGGCTTTCAGAATGCAGTGCATTATCATAAATTGTTGGTAGAATAATAAAAAAAATATACAACTTCCTCACAGGAAAGGTGATAAAACAACCAAAATAATGTGAGAGTCAAAAAGAGTTGAGTGCTGTGCTGTGCTGAGTCCACTCCCAGCACAAAAAAGTCAAATAATGACTCATAGGGCTCTTTCTTAAGTAAGCAGAATAAACAAAACGCAACTGTTGTGGTTTGTTTTGTTTGATTTGTTCATACCATTTTACTTTTTTGCAGAAATAACATACATTGTCAATGCAAGCAAAAAATTAGGTACCTGAGCTTTAATTCAGTGAGTTTTGGCTGCTCTTTGTGAGGAGACTTGGGGGAGACGTGGGCGAGACATGGGAGACATGGGGGGGTGGACATGGGGGGGGACATGGGGGAGACAGGCAAGAGCAACAAGCTGGGGATGGTCCAGATCGCGCGTGTATGATTCTGTCTACGCTTCTATGGTCCGCGGTACATGACCATGATACAGCTACGCTTTCGATGAGCTGTGTCAAAGTGGCCACAGTTTCTCCCGGGGTCAGAACGGAGGATGTTAATCCCGTTCGAGTACGTAACGCAAACAACTGCCCGCGGTCACACATTTCACAGAAATGATATTTTCAGCGAGAAAGTGTCGGGATTTGCAGACCCGCAGATAATTCTCATCACAGGTTGCATTTCATTGGTCAAGACAATTGATCAATGAAGAGAATAGGTCAAAAAAATAAGGTGTGTCCGTATAAGTGCGCAACAGCGCTCCCGGCTTGAAAGGTAGAATACTTTCCGGCCTCAATGAGTTAAGCTAAATCCTTGAACCAACGTCCGATTGGCTCCAATGATCAACACTGACTTGAAGATTTGTATTCTCATTGGAACTACCCATCGCTGAGTTTAGTTATTATCCAATGTATGGAATGTTTTAGTTCTGGAACCAAAGTGGGCTCAGAGGTGAGTGGAACTTTGCTGCGTTTTAGCTGAGTCCAGTACAACTAAACTCTTGAGAGACGCGCTGAAATGATGTACAGTATGTTGAAAGTGAGTGGACCTTGAGCTCCTCCTTGTCCCCGTTGTCCCGAATGAAGACCTTCTCCAGCTCGTGGTTGATGCCCTCCATGCTGCTGGGAACCCGCGAGATGGAGGGCTTTGGCACCGTGATGTTGGAGAGGGGCATCTGGGACGACTTCGACATGGAAGCCTGCTGCTGTCAGGGCAAAGTTACAACATACTTAGTTTTAACGTCTTGTAAAATATGAAAATAAGTATTTCCACTGGGTCTAATGTTTCAAAAGGAATTGACAAAAACACATAATATGCATTAGTTGTGTTCATTTTAGAACATAGTATGACCTTTTTAGTAAATCTAGCGTGGCGCAGTGTAATTGAAAGCACAAAGAACAATTGCTTGAAGAAATTTCCCCCAAAAAATAGAAAATCCCAAAACAAAATTTAGATGTTTTAGTTTGTTTTAAAAGGACAGAAAACGGCCATGACATCAGAGTCTAGGATTTGGCACAGTGTCAAGTTTTTGCCAATTTGAACCAACATTTCCTGATGGTTGGAGTTGACAATAATTATCTAACTTAATCTTTGACGAAATGTCATGCACGTTAAAAAAGTGATCACCACATGTCTCCTTTAAGACACAATTTACTGTAATTTCCGGACTTTAAGCGGCTAATTTTTTTCTACTTTTTTTTTATTTCTGCAGTTTATATAGTGACGTAGCCAGGGCCGGAGTGGGACAACATTTCAGGCCGGGAGCTTTTCATCCATTCAGGCCAAACAAGGTTCTAAATTTGGGTTTTTGTCATTGTATTTTGATGTTCTTTTAATAGTTTTAAGATTGACTGTCAAAACTTTTGTTTTCTTTATTTTTTTTAATATTGACTGTTTATATAATCTCGGACGTTTAAGGATTGTTGTACGTTGCTTAGCAACGTAACGTTTATGGAGCTTAGTGAGAATAAAGACACACACACACACACACAATGAACTAAGTGTTCATTAGTGTATAACTATAACAAGCTAATCAATTATTGTTAAAAAAGTAGTAAGGTAAAATCACATCGTTACAGCTCATATAAAAGGAAAAATAAAAACGTGTATGAACCATAAGTTGGAGAGACCACTCATTTCAACCGGGGAAGCTACACTGGGTGCACTGCTAGGCTGGCCTGGCTGTGTAGCCGACGTGTGACGTCACATTTGTTTAATTTTGCTCTGGCCCAATGACAGTAAAGCTTTGGCCAGTGTTGTGCCAGTTCACAGCTTTTCTGAACAAGTTCAATTCATACATGCTCAAAGTGAACAGTTCACGTTCGAAGTTCTCAATTTTAATTCTGAACTAGTTCAAAGTTCAGTTCATTTTACTTTTTGCGAGATATTCAAATAAATATTTTTTTTCACTACGAGCTAGAAATCACAATACGTGGTGTGTATATATATATATATATATATATATATATATAATTATATCCTGTACACTGCACAGGATGTTTTGACTCCAATACAGACAAGATTTACATGGGTTTCAATGGGAACTGAGTTGTCCCATCTCTGCTCATAAGTACAAACTGTAATGCGCTGCAGAACGTGTGTCTATACTTTATGTCAAATGTAAACGGCCCTGTGTCACTGACTTACCCCTGTGTTTTCATCACGGCACATGTGAGTCCAACAACCAATGAATAGCACTAGCATATAGCGCCGCACCGCAAGTACACTGAGTCGGGGTGCGTTCACAGACGGTGGAAACCGTAGGAATTTTTAGTTTTCAGCGGAAACAGTGCGGAGAATACAGGAGGGAGGAACTTTCTCTCGTTGCGTTTCAACAGAGAAAACAGATTTCACTCAGTTTTAAATGGAAAACAAATTGTCTGCCGTTCATGACACATAATATGAACTAATTCACGTTCAAGTTCTTTATTAAAAAATGTGTTGCGTTCAGTTCAACGTTCACGAAAAAATGAGCGTGTTCAATGAACGCGTTCTTTTGAACTCGTTCACGCACAACACTGGCTTTAGCCTGGGCCTTGCTCATTGGACCAGGCCACCAGGCAGGGTAGGACTTTGCAAAGACCGTGAGGATGAAATTAAATTAAAAGAAAAAAAAAAAAAGACCGTGATAATAGGGCAGGCCCAGGCCACTTTGACACGCAGGCCACCGGGAGATCTCCCGATGCTCCCGATGGCCAGTCCGGGCCAGGACGTAGCTAATGTGTGTATTTCTAGTGTGATAAAAGTTGTCCGAGCAGAACTTATGGAATTATTGTTATTGACTCAAGGGATAGGGTTAGTAGCTACAGGAAACTGGTTTATTGACAAAATAGATAGATAGATAGAAGGTGAATGAGTGATGGAAGCTAAGGGTGAAGCTGGCAGACTAGGATTAGGATTATCACTAGAATATAAAACTAAACAATGACACAAACAACGCAACATTTCCTGTGGCGATTTGGCTGTGTTTTAAAAATGTAAATGTTATGGTGCCAACATCAGTACGAGACATGAGGCTGCACCTGTGGTTGTCCCTCCAGAGCAGCTGTGGTGTGGCTGGGGAACAGGCTGCTGTAAATCTGGGGGGTGGGAGGGTGGTGCTGGTGTGGGGACAGGTGGTCTCGGTCCTTGGCGGGACGAGCGCCCTGTTTGCCGCGCTGGAGCTGGTGCCGGAGCTTGGCTATCTGAGGACACAGGACGAGAGAGAGATGAGAGGCAATGTTACTGGTGCAGAAACTTTGATACAGTATTTATGGAATTGAAGTGCAATGGTTGTATCTATCTGTAAAGCAAGGAGCGTCTGTGTGTATGTGTTCCTTGCGCTTGTGCAGATCGACCTCAGAGCCAAACCAACTATTTAGACCCAGCTTCTTCAGTGTACCTTTACACCAGCAGTGAAAAACAATTACTGTAATTAATTTATACGATGCAGTTCTATTTTTTACGCACTGCTGACATATAGATCTCACACGTCTTCATCTAAGACCATATGCACTTTTTGTAAACTGTGGGTTGACACGCTTTTGTAATCTTGCACCATGTTGAATGACTACCTTTAACTATTCTAAAAATACCTATATTTGTAAATTTTATATGTACGGACATGACTTACACACTTGTCTTAACACGACACAAAAGTATGTGCACATCTGTACATAGGACCTTAAAACACACCGTCATTAGGCCATAGCTTTATGTTCTAAATGACCAAAAACAACATGAAATTAAATTCAATTTATCTTTGTATAGCTCTAAATAACAACAGTAGTAATCTCAGAGGGCTTCAGAAAGTTGTCGATTCACCAACACAGATCAGAGAATCAAACAGTTCAAACACAGGAAATGCAATGATAGTAAACACAAAGGAACCATTAGGCCATAATAATATTATATAATTCTAATAATAATAATAATAATTTAAAAGCAATTTTATATAGCGCTTTTCTGGACACTCAAAGACCCTTCACATGTCATTATCCTTTCACTTCATACACAGTAATGATAAACTACTACTACTACAACTACTGTAGCCACAGCTGAACTGGGGCACAGACAAAAAATATACTAAACTTTAGACTGATCATATTTGATTCAATTTTAATACATTTACATATGTGCTGAAGAGATATAATTGTATATGTGGACGTTTTTCACGTCTGAATGATTGTGTACCACATTTACCATGTAGTAAAATAATTTCTTCAGTAGTAAAAGGTCTTGGTTAAAACGCACGTCAAAGCTATTTTGCATGTTTGGTTCTTGCCCAGTTTCTTTACAAGCGTCAGCCCAGTCACATTCAGTTACCAGAATGTACCAGCAGGTGTCACTGTTCAATAAAAAGCAGATGAAAAGGTCTGAAAAGTGGAAGACTGCCAAGACTGCACTCAAGCCTTCTGTCATTAATCCTCGCTACCATCTTTTTAAAGTGAGCAGTGGAATAAAAGCATAAGTAACAAACACTATCCTATTGTTCACAACAAGACACTACAGATGATTAAAAGTACTTCTTGTAGATCTAGTTTTGACACTCCTTCAGAAATGCCACCCTTTGGGCTGAATGATGAGGCTGTATCGAAATTTCTACTTCAATGTGTTTCCTCACAGCCCTTACAGCAGTCGTCTCGGAGGACTTGTTGATTCGCCAACAACAGATCAGAGAATCAAGTTTGAAGACATGTAAGAGACATGTTCCCAACTCTGTCAGTAACGCACAGTATGTGACGTGTAAGATTACAAGTAATCTAGCAGTGAGAGAACTGACTTCTTTTAAAAACTGTACTGAGATCATTTTTACTCAAATCAGCAATAACAATAATGTTTACCTATCCTATTACTTTTACAATTTGAATCAAGATTTGGGTTTAATTTCTGATTTTTGATTTGAAACACTTAAAAACATTTTTTTTTTTTTTAAACAATTTGTCCGGGTCAAATGTGATTTGAATGATTTTACTGTTTTACACTTTGGATTTGTTTTTTTTTACAGTCTTTTATTGGGAAATGTGTGTTTATGAAATGTGCTATGTAAATAAAGTGGATTGATCAAATTTCTCTCATATTTGAACTATTTTTGGAGCCGATTATATTTCAGATCCACGTTTCTGTGAAAAAGCTCATTTCCACATTTCTCTTTCCTCACTTCCAAACTGAGACCTTGATCAGATTTCACCTAAACTGATCTCGGTGCAACAGAATTTAGGCCAACTGCAACTGACAAATATTTCGAGATTTTTATTTCTATTAATAGCCTAATATAGATAATAGATAAAGATAAAGCTGAACAGAAGCCACTGGATATGCAATAACATTTACACAAATCTTGAAGTGGAAATGGAATACACAATAAAACTTCCTTAATCTCAATGGGACTTTCCAGGTTAAATAAAGCTTAAAGTGATTGTCTGGACTTTGTCAGAGAGACAGAGAGGTACTTGATTTGAAAAAAAAACGAAAAAACAACGCAAGCTCCCTCCCCCTTCCTTTCTGATTGGTCTACACCTACGTTTCCGTAACACTTTGAAATGTTAATCAGAGAACACATTATACATATACATTATTAATACACATGCACGGAGGTTTTCAGAATTATTTGTGAACGTTTTAATGAAAAAAATAATGTTTTTATGCACAAAAAAAGCGATCGCGGCAAACCAGGAAGTGCTATTATTATGAATTGCACATTATAGGACACATCTGCAGAGGATCTGATTATGGATATAGGTTCAGTATATACATAAGTAACTCAGCGCGGATGTTCAGAATTCTTTGTTCAGTTTTCATGTAGTTCCAGAGCCTAATAGAGGCTTGATTTGGAGGCTCCGCAAAAACAAACAACTGCGCATGCGCGCAGCTGCGAGCATCAGCGCCGATGATTGACAGCCCTTGGCATGACTCGATTGGTTAACCTCGACGGCACCGTGGATTCTGAACTAAAGCTAAGAGCAGGGAAGGCGGGACTTCCCCGTAATATTAGAATTAATAAAATGACTTATTTTATATCAACATTTAAGGCCAGGAGGTCAATTTAACACATTTCCTAAAATTTGTAATTCATTTAGAGTTACAGACTATCACTTTAATACAAAAAATTAGAATCACCAACAAGATATTTTTCTAAAATCACTAGGGCCTACTCCATACTTCCTCCAAAAAAATTTCAATATTATCTGGCTACCAAAGTCTGAGCACCCATGTTGGTCTATTTCTGTTTAAGCCTGGCTGCATGATCCTTTTTAATAATCCAAAATCAAAACTTACGGCGGTCTCAGTTCGTGTGCGAGCAGAGATGAAATATTTCTTTATGTGGGGAGGAATGTGTAGGATTTTCTTTGCCTTAAGGCCGGAGGATTCGCAAAGTTGGAAATGGCAATGATTGCTGCTTTTAATCTGAAGTGAAAGTAAAGTTACACTACACGGCTAAAAGTGATCAAAAATAAGTCAAAAATATCTTGAGTTTAGCAAAATGTACCTTCATTTAATCACATTTTGACTGCCTTAAAACAAGATTTAAAACATAATTATCTTATTTTAAAAAGATACAAGAAATGTCTCCATTTGAATGGAATAAATAAAGGGTTTCAAAAATATTTAAATCTAATGTTATTAGGCCAATAGAGTGAATCTACAGTTTCATTCCATGATTCTTTATCCGATCAGTCAATACAGCATTGTACAGCCCCTTTTAGATTATTATACATAGAACTATGTATATGTTTCATGACATATTTTCTAAATATATTTTGTATCCACAAAATTGTTTAACTTCACTTTGTTCGTTAAAGGACAACTAAACACTAAATCAACTTTTTTCAACTTATAGGAGGATCTTTGTTTACACCCGCGTGCGCATGCGCCCCTCGCCGGGTGGCAACAAGACAGGGCGGCACATACTGAAGCATGGATGCGACGAGTACTTTTAAAAGACTCAGTGGGCGAATAGCACTGTATATAAGTACTTTAACGCAAGAAGATCAGAGGAGATTTAAAGAAAATTAAAGCCGCAAGCGGCGTCGAATGGCCCTCGCCGCACCGCGCGACTCCCCGCACCGCACCACGCCATATGGTCCGGGACCACGCCTCCCCGCACCATGCCGCCTCTCACCACGTCGCCACGCACAACGCCGCCTCTCACCACGTCGCCACGCACAACGCCGCCTCTCACCACGTTGCCACGCACAACGCAGCCTCTCACCACGCCGCACTGCACCAAACGCACCGTGCCACGCCGCCCCACGCCACCTCACTTTACGCTGTGCCACACCACGCCGCACCGCTTATTGGATGTGGCGCCGCCGCGCCATTTTTTGGCACCATTACAATTTGCCGCTCTGATGCTCGTACATTGTTTTACTGATCAAAAATCCCTGAAGTCATTCTGAAGGTACATGTGTTGAGATGATGTGGAGCGATCTTGAGGCGAATCGGTGAAACGGCCGAGGAGGAGTCGCTTTCCAACCAAGATGTATGAAAGTGTTTGCTTTTAATTTTTCCATTTTGCAGTGAAATTTATGGGCTTCCTGTTTGTTAGAGGGCTTAGCCATAATAACATTTTTTCCATGGCTTGACTTGAGGAACATGTGTACCAAATTACATGGTTCTACGACAAGTTGACCTCGAACCCCTCCCATAGGCGTTTATTAAATTGGCTGTTGTAGGTGGCGCTATAGAGCCAATTTCAAAATGTTGACTTTCAAATGACCTAGACCCAAGAGTTGAACCATGAATTCAAGTTTTGTGCAAATCAGACTTTGTTTGTGCAAACGGAAGGAATTTTTCTATTGTCAAAAACTGAAAAAAAATACGCCACTTGTTGGCGCTCCGCTGCTCAAACAACGTTTTACTGATAAAAATTCCCTGAAGTCATTTTGATGGTACATGTGTTGAGACGATGTGGAGCGATTTTGAGGCAAATCGGTGAAACGGCCGAGGAGTCGCCGCTTTCCAACCGACGCGTGTGAAAAGGATCATGTTTCATTTGTCCATTTGGAAGTGAAATTTATGGGCTTCCTGTTTATCAGGGGGCGAGGCCATAATAACTTTTATTTCATGTCTTGAAATGAGGAATATGTGTACCAAATTCCATGCCTATACAGCAAACTTGACCTCGAAACGCTCCCATACTAAAAACTATGACCCCATCTGTAGGGGGCGTTAATAAGCCAAGTTCAATTATTTCACTTTCAAATGACCTAGACCAGGGGTGCTCACACTTTTTCAGCATGCGAGCTACTTATAAAAGGATCAAGTCAAAATGATCTACCTACTACAAAAATGCAAATCATATATTTATTTCAAAAAATATTCTTTATACCTACAATGTATGTTTATGTACATGCAAAAGTGCATGAGCCAATATAGCACAACACAACACAATTACCTGTGTAAATTTTTTGTCATTACCCGAGTTTACTCTGATGACTTGCACTGAATTGAATCGGCCAGGGAGGCATAGTCCGGAAAATTGGTGGTAACTCGCTGACAAGTTTGTCGTTGTTTAGCTTTCCTGCACTGAGCGCGGTTGTTTGCGCATGTGCAGTCACCTAAGTGTCAGTAAAACATTACTGAGTAAAACATTACTGAGTAAAACACAGATGTCATTTGACTGTGGTGCCATGTCCATGTGCCATGCCTGTTTTTTTTAAATCCAAATATTTCCCCTCCTCAGTTTATAAAATAATTTGCATCCACACATGTGCGTTATCAATCACATTCGTAACATTCCAAACATGTGCGTCTCTTACGTCCTGTCCTGCGTTGGGGAAAAACACGGAAGTGGGCGGAGCTTTGATGCAGACGCCGGTAACGGCACTTTTACAGTCATAGAAGACACTCAGAGTAAAGACGTATGTTTACAAGCACTGACCCCGTCCTCAGCCCTGGTTTAGTCCTGGTTTAGTCCTGGTTTAGTCCTGGTTTAGTCCTGGTTTGGTTGTTTTCGAGCGTGAGTCCCCGCGATCACTTTGCTGCTCTCTGATGTGGAGCGCTGCTGCGAGCATCTCACAGCGAACAGTTTTTAAGGTAGTATGATCCATGCTTCAGTGATCAGAGGAATTTAGGGGGTACTGTGGCGTGCGAGAACGCAAAACTCCGGTTATCTCTGTCTACACACAAATGCATTAACGGAGTTTTCAAAAATCTCCACTTTGCCCGGAGTTTTTTGCATATATTTGTTTAGAATGTGTAATTTTTTATTTATTTAATGCGATCTACCAATACTACCTTTGCGATCGACTGGTAGATCGCGATCGACGTATTGAGCACCCCTGACCTAGACCCTAGAGTTGAACCATGGATTCAGGTTTTGTGCAAATCGGAATTTGTATGTGTAAACGGGAGCAAATAGAATGTTGTGAAAAACGGCCAATAAACACTCACATTTTGCTGCTCCGCTGCTCAAACAACGTTTCACTGATCAAAAATCCCTGAGGTCATTTTGATGGTACATGTGTTTAGACAATGTGGAGTGATATGGAGGCCAATCGGTGAAACGGCCGAGGAGGAGTCGCTTTCCAACCGACATGTATGAAAATGATTGCGGATCATTTTTCCATTTTGCAGTGAAATCTATGGGCCTCCTGTTTGTCAGAGGGCGGAGCCATGATAACATTTCGGTCGTATCTTGACTTGAGGAACATGTGTACCAAATTTCATAGCTCTACGACAAACTTGACCTCTGAAACTCCCATTGGCTGTTGTAGGTGGCGCTGTTCTCGCATTTTTTGAGTCCCATAAAAATAAACACAAAAATATCAAATTTTTCACCAGGTCTGATGTTTGGGCAAAATTTTACAACTTTTCATGCATGTTCGGGGGGTGAAATTAAGGCTGAGAGTGCAGAATTTGACAACTCTCGAGCAAAAACAATAGGCCCTTTCCCTGTTCGGGCTCGGGCCTAAAAAAATAAGTATATGAGACCTGGGATGACGAGAAGAAACATTGGTCAGACTCACCTCTGTTTTGGCACCGATCTGCTGGGACTGGGACTCAGAGACATTCATTATTACTTCATAGATTACTACATTTATTCTTACTACACTTTACACCGTTTTTCACCGCGGTAAAGTGGCCCGGCGTTTCGGAGCCGGTAAAGTGGTCCGCACATTAAAAGCGGGTTGCCCCTTTATGCAGTTGCTTACGGTAAACGTGGAAAAGGAAGCAGCGGGGATGAGCAACCAAAATGCAATGTTTCAAATGAATAATCACAGTGACCAAGTGTGCAGTAAATGTAGTTGCAAAACTTAAATTTGTTCATGAATTTTTATCCCCTGATCCACCCCAGCTTCCCGGTCTACGTTTACCGTAGGTAACAGCATAAAAGGGCAACCATTTTACAGTGGCCGTTTTTTGCAGTTCTTTTGCGAAAGTTTTTTAAAAAGCCCCAGCGGGCCGTGCAACCGACCACACAACAAGAATGGACCATTTGATTTAGTAAAACCTCTCTCCAAATGTCTAAAAATAGCTAACTCTCTAGCATCCAGGTAGCTTTCTATGCTGTTTTGCCACCCGGTCACGTGACCTGCGCGGAAAATCTATAAACAACGACGTCACTCCAAGATCCTCCTATGAACTGCATAAATATGTTTCTTATAGTGCTCTCTACATCCATTTTTGACATTTTACTGCAAATTAGATAAAATCTCACTCTTGAGCCTAAAACCGTCTGCGTGGCACCCTCTCTACATTTTCAGCGGCACTACATTTGAATTTGGTGCCTGACATCTCCATTGGCTCTGGAGTGCAGTGTGATGTGGTCTCTGAGCCAGTGGTATAAAACCAGCCGAGTCTCACCCACGCCCCGTAGCAAGTTACATTCTTGCGGCATCTAGTGGTTTACTGGATGACGTCGATGCATCTGGTCAATACAATTATCTTTGTGTGGACTGTGACTGATAAGCGAGCTGTCAATTACAGCCCAGACCACGCCCCACTCGAAGCCCTCCTTCATGTCCCCTGGTCTTTCGGGGAACGCCCTTTTTAGAATTTGCAAATGTTCAGATGGGCGGAGTAAGGAACAGGTGTTTAGTTGTCTTTTAAGCTGAATGCTGCTGTTTTGCAGTTTCTTGGCTTTTCTAAGTTGTAGTGATAGGGTTAGGCGTCGATAAGTGCTACACTTCAGCCTAAACCCTTTCAGTCATTGCCTTTTGTTCTTGGAATATGACATGATCTGTATCTATTTGAGATTGCAAAATGACAGAATAAATAAACAAAAATCAATCAATCAATGGGGCGACAGTAGCTCAGTTGGTAGAGCATTGGCCTTAAGGCCAGAAGGTCGTGGGTTCAATTCCCACCTCTGCACCTTCTCCACCGACTCCCACTGATGACTGCTGTCGTTGTGTCCTTGGGCAAGACACTTAACCCCACTTTGCCCAAAACCCCCACTGAAAGATCAAGGCTATGCTCACACTCAGAGAGCAGCCGTCCTCCTGTGGACTCACCACCTGCAGAGGGTCAGTGAGGGGCTGGTGCTATGAGACTTGGGTGGCATCTCTGACTGCCACCCCCTGACCCAGAAATGGATTAAAGGGTAGAAGATGGATGGATCAATCAATCTAAGACTAAATCTTTTAAGACAGTCAGAATGTACTCAAATTAGGATAAAAATTACTCATTTCAAGCAGTAGTAACCTCATTGCTGTGTATACATTTTTTTGCAGTGTATACACAGTATACTTTCTCTCTGTTCTTGTGTCAAAAATACGCAATGACGACAAACCTCTTTGAGCTGATCAGCACTGCCCCAGGAAGCTGAGCGCTGGTGGCTCCTCTTCTCTCCACTGTCCTCACTCCAACATCCAGGAGTCTGCAGCGAACAAGTAAGCCACTTAATTATGTTTATTTAGATAGTACACGTCACAAAGTCTCACAAGTCTCACAAAGAGCTGTACAATTGTTGGTGTACCAGTATACACACGCACATACACGGATATACACACGTGCGCACACGGCAATAAGGTCATTGCGATTGACTGGACCACGACTGACTTGAGTGCATGGCTGTAGTTTAGGTCATCTAAAAAGGTTAATGGTACAATCCTGCTCTTGGTAACACTTGGCATAAATTCTGTGGTTGTGTCCTTGGGCAAGATACTTCACCTCCCTGCCGCCGATGTTTGCATGAACTTGTTTATGTGTGTGGTATTGTAAAAGAAGACAATATCAGAAAAACTATCTTAGTTAAGTTACTGAACTTCAGAGACAAATATATCTCTCCCAAAGTAACATTATTCCAGATACCTACAAGTTTGCAGTTTTGTTAATAGTAACTTCACCTCGTACCCAAATGTGCCTGACGACTCCTTTATTAATAACTATCTCAGGCCTCTTTCCTTTCTAAATGGCTCTATTTTATAACTTCATAATCCGATATCGGCTATCCGTTCCAATTCTCTTGCATCAATAAAAGTTCTCTGGGAGGAGGTCTCTGTGAGGAGTCATCTGAGGAGCTATGGTCAAGAATTAATCCTAAAGCGTGTGTTCCAGGAATTACCTTATACAATGCAGACTTGTTCACTTGGATTTCCCTTCTGTCCTCGATTATTTTTCTGTAATCTGTAACAATTCTGTTTCATGGCGTGATGATGAGACTCCTGAACCCGCCCTCCTCGATCTGACTGTCCTCCACAGCCCGACTCTTGGGCTGCACCCTCTCCCCGCCTGGAAGCTGCCTCAGTCCTGCATCGCGTCTAACCACGTTCTGCAGCCCGAGTCCTGCACCACGTGGCCTCGGTCTTCGTTCTTCAGCCTGAGCCCTGGATCTACACTACAGTCCGTTTGCCCGTGGGAGCGGAACCCTCTCTCAATGTAGTTCTCTCTGAGGTTTCTCACTTTTTCCCACTGGGTTTAGAGTTGTTCCTTGGCGATGCAGTCTGGATGTGTATCTACAGTCAATAGTCATGAAAAGAAAGGAAGCTTATTGAATGAGAAAGTGTGTACAGACTTTTGGTCTGTACTGTATGCATATGTATAAAATAAAGTCATTTATCAGATCTCACGCATGCTCGTCACTTCCTCGTGACGCTCTGCAAAACAACACGGCCAAACATGGAGCTCACAAAAGAAACAGCTGTGGCGTTATTTTACACTACCTTCACCAACGACTTCGACAGCTTCATGCAATATATGCAAATGTGATGTTTCGAGAGGCGGCGGTAAAACTGACACAATACAACACGACTAAGCACCATGTGAAAGAGCATGGGGAGTTTTTTCAGCGAAAGGAGATGACGTGAAAACAACAAGACACAGTTGATACTTTTGCAACCTGCTCGACCATTTGGGAACCCAGGGACATCATGCCTTCGCGCAAATACATATGTGAAATCCTCAGTTAAAGCTAAAGGTGCTATAAATTAGTTACAGCAAACCACTACACTGCATGAAAATGTAAGTGTTTTTTTAATACACATTTAATATTAGTGCGTTTTATATTCAATAAATGTTTACACAGTTGGAAAGTTTAATGTGAACATTGAGCAGCTCTTTATTGTTGCAGTATTGCACACTTATGTTGAATAAATTTTTTCTGGAAAGTTAGCCGTTTAGTTCATCCACTGCTGTTGCATTTACTTGAATGATAAATAGGTCAAATATTTAATACATTTTAGTGTGATCATTTCCAGTATAGGTAAATTATGGAATCGGCAGATACCCAGAGCTCCGGTATCGGTAGTAAAAAAGCTGGATCAGTGCATCTCTAGTTTATACCTTTTCTGTTTTGTTATTATTATATATTATATATTTCATATTCTTTGGTTTGCAGCCGAGTGTGAAGCGGCTGGGATGAGAATCAGCACCTCCAAATCCGAGGCCATGATGCTCGACCGGAAAAAGGTGCCTTGCCCTCTGCAGGTGGGTGGAGAGGTCCTTCCTCAAGTGGAGGAGTTCAAGTATCTCGGGGTCTTGTTCACGAGTGAGGGAAGGATGGAGCGTGAGATTGACAGGCGGATCGGTGCAGCGTGCGCAGTGATGCGGCCGCTGTATCGGACCGTTGTGGTAAAGAGGGAGCTGAGCCGAAAGGCAAAGCTCTCGATTTACCGGTCAATCTTCGTTCCCTCCCTCACCTATGGTCATGAGCTTTGGGTAGTGACCGAAAGAACGAGATCGCGGATACAAGCGGTCGAAATGAGCTTCCTCCGCAGAGTGGCTGGGCGCTCCCTTAGAGATAGGGTGAGGAGCTCAGTCACACGGGAGGAGCTCGGAGTAGAGCCGCTGCTACTCCACGTCGAGAGGAACCAGTTGAGGTGGCTCGGGCATCTGTTCCGGATGACTCCTGGACGCCTCCCTGGGGAGGTGTTCTGGGCACGTCCCACCGGGACCGGTGGGAAGTGGAAGTCCACAACCGGGCCCCGGGGAAGACCCAGGACACGCTGGAGGGACTATGTCTCTCAGCTGGCCTGGGCGTCTCTGCTTAGACTGCTGCCCCCGCGACCCGGCAACGGATGAAGCGGAAGAAAACGGACGGATGGACGGATATTTCATATTCTGTATAATGTGTATTAGTCTTTTTAAAGACAAAGTTGGGGGGGGGGGGACTTCAGAAACAAATTTCAAGGTTTATGATCAATAAATCAATTTACTTCCCTCCTTATTTGGGTCACGGCAGGGCGCTGTATTTGGTGCTATGTCCCGACACTGTTGAAGCAGTGGTCTATATCAGAATCAGAATCAGAATCAGAATCATTTTTATTGCCAACGTAAGTAACAGGAGGTCACAGACTAGGAAATTGCTTTGGCTCAGTGCAACAGTCAAAAAGAGATAATAAAAATAAGAATAAAAAACACTTCTAAAGAATAAATTTAAATTTAAAATAGAGTTACAGTTACTATTTACAATATACAAGTGCACATGGTGCACACAATGTAAGGTGACAGCAGTACAATGAAGTAAAGTGACGTATGATGGGCAGTAAAGTGACTTTATAAAGGGCGGGGGGACAGGTTAAGAAGTGTTCAAGAGTCCAACAGCAGAGGGGAAGAAACTGTTCTTGTGGCGGGAGGTTCTAGTCCTGATGGACCGCAGCCTCCTGCCTGAGGGGAGTGGTTGGAATAGTCCATGTGCAGGGTGAGAGGGGTCGGCTGTGATACGACCAGCCCGGCCTCGAGCTCGGGTGACGTACAGGTCCTGCAGCGATGGAAGGCTGCGGCCAATCACTTCCTCTGCAGAGCGCACGATGCGCTGTAGTCTCTGTTTGTCCCTGACTGTGGCTCCAGCGAACCACACGGTGACGGAGGAGGTGAGGATGGACTCGATGATGGCCGTGTAGAACTGCACCAACATCTGTGCAGGCAGCTTGGCTTTCCTGAGCTGCCGCAGGAAGTACATCCTCTGCTGGGCCTTCTTGATGAGGGAGCTGATGGTCGGCTCCCACTTGAGGTCCTGGGTGATGGTGGTGCCCAGGAAACGGAAGGACTCCACAGAGGTGATGGGGGAGTCCATCACGGAGGGTGGGGGCGGGGGGACAGTGCTCTTCCTGAAGTCCACAATCATCTCCACTGTCTTCTGGGCGTTCAGCTCCAGGTTGTTACCACTGCACCAGGACACCTCCCTCCTGTAGGCGGACTCATCGTTGTTGGAGATGAGTCCAATGAGGGTGGTGTCGTCCGCAAACTTGATCAGCTTCACAGAGTCGTGGCTGGAGGTGCAGTGGTTGGTGTACAGGGAGAAGAGCAGGGGAGAAAGAACACAGCCCTGTGGGGCTCCTGTATTTATAATCCGAGAGTCCGAGACATTCTTCACCAGACGCACTCGTTGCTTCCTGTCCGTCAGGAAGTCAGTGATCCACCTGCAGGTGGAATCGGGCACGTTGAGCTGGGAGAGCTTGTCCTGGAGCAGGGATGGCAGGATTGTGTTGAAGGCAGAGCTGAAGTCCACGAACAGGACCCTGGCGTAGGACCCCGGGGAGTCCAGGTGCTGTAGGATGTGGTGGAGGGCCAGGTTAATGGCGTCGTCTACAGATCTGTTGGCTCTGTAGGCGAACTGCAGGGGGTCCAGGAGGGGGGAGGTGAGGGACTTGAGATGGGAGAGAACCAGGCGTTCAAATGACTTCAGGACGACAGACGTAAGTGCTACAGGTCTGTAGTCATTGAGTCCTGTGATCCTGGGCTTCTTCGGGACGGGGACAATGATGGAGGATTTGAAGCAGGCCGGGACATGGCAGGACTGCAGAGAGGAGAAGTGACCTGCACTGAAGCACACTGAGGCGAGTGTATGTGGACTGGGCAGAGGGCACATCCTGCTCAGCACCTGCTCTGGAGCCTGCTCAGCCTAATGCTCCAGCCACAGAGCTGCCACTGTGGCCCTCTGCAACATGCCCCCTTCACCGTGTGTGAACGCACCACTGTGGCCTACAAACCACAACCAGAAAATAAAATACTGAAGAAACGTAGACAAGAATAGAGCAGTATGTGTGTGTGTGTGTTAGTATAGCCCTAAATCACAACAGTAGTTATCTTGGAGGACTTAACAAAGCTGTCGATTCGCCAACACAGATTAGAGAATCAAACACTTCAAACACAGGGAATGCAATGATAAAATACACATAGAGCCATTGGTCCATAAGGGGCAGGTGACCAATGTCAATAAATGTTATGTAATATTAAAAGCAGTTGTGCCTTGTAGTTTGGTTTGCCTCTCCAGAGATTTTAAAGCTGGGTGTGTCAAATACATGACTTGAATTCTCCGCAAATAGCTGCGGTCGACGAGGAGAAACACATGGATGTCCTCACACAAACTGGCGGTAACAGGACTGAGTGTGCTGTGCATACGATCGAGTCACACCAGATCAGCAAAACCTGAGTGAG